TGATGTTTAGGCGGTTCGTTTAACTATTATACGTGATGTATTTTTTTGGGGGGGGGTACTAAAAGGGCTCCAAAACGCGACATTAATTTCTTGACGACCTAATATATTATGAACTGCAGTTAAAATTATAAGTCCAAGCTAGATTTTAAAGCTCATTACGGTCCCATTGTACAAAATGTATACATAAAATATTTTATTGAAATGTTGTAAAAATTGGACCTGCTAAATGAATGATTAATAAACTGTGAAATGCGTTTAACGATAACCTTCTGAGTGAGCCCTAAATTCCATTATGTTTAACAAACAAAATAAGCTATATTTATGTTACAAAACACACTCATGGTATACTACAATATAGGGTTTTAGAGTGAAACTTTGTCGTTAGGCTTAGACCAGATATTAGTTTTCAAACTCCAAACTTTTTAAATTAGGCGATACGGATGGCTTGTGAGGAACGATTTGGATGCTAGATGTTATGCAAATGAATTCCTCCTGCCAAACTAACTCACATAATCACAATGGCTCTCCCTGTCCATTTTTTACTCCTGCGAACCCATTTAAATCATTTCTCTCTAAGATGTCGAGTCATTGTGTGCGAATAATACACCCTCTAGTATATCACTGTACGTTAGCTATTAAAGCTCTTCCTCTGGAGTGCCAAAACACTTTACTTATAACGTATAGGAGTATGAAACTGATGAGGTTCTGTAAGTATGAAACTGATGAGGTTCTGTAAGTATGAAACTGATGAGGTTCTGTAAGTATGAAACTGATGAGGCTATGAAAGTATGAAACTGATGAGGTTATGTAAGTATGAAACTGATGAGGTTCTGTAAGTATGAAACTGATGAGGCTATGAAAGTATGAAACTGATGAGGTTATGTAAGTATGAAACTGATGAGGTTATGTAAGTACGAAGATTGGATGCATCTAATTAGACTTTCATTTTCTCTCTCTATTCTTTGTTTTTTTTTTTTTACTTTAAACACGTCAAACACAGATGTACGTATAGCAAAATACCCTAATCCGACCATGACGAGTGTATGGTAGATGTTAACAGTGTTTGTTACGTTATCCCTAACAAGAGTATATTATATCGAACAAGTGAAATAGCACTAAAACGTGAAATCGGCTGACTTTTAAAGACACGTAAAACTCAGAGATGGTGGTCTGGATAAACGAAAGATAATAAGATCGTGCGCGAGTAAGAAGTAACAATGTTTGCCATTGTGAAGTTTCATAAGCCTAAAGAAACATCTAGAATATTTATATTATTTTGGCACTTGTGTATAAAGTTAAAATAATGAATAATATTCAACGTTAAACTGGTACACAATTAAAAACATTTTATTTAGGCCTATCTATCAAAAAGTTGACGATTCTACATGTTTCGACGTCACAACGTCATCTCAGGATGGTATAACATAAGACATATAAGAGATAAACACTTATGGTATAGCATACGACACGTGAGACATAAACACTTATGGTATAACATGAGACATATAAGAGATAAACCCTTATGGTATAACATGAGACATATAAGAGATAAACCCTTATGGTATAATATAAGACACATAAAACTATTTTAATAGCTTTCAATCCTATTCTTAAAGTTGACTTGCAGATGGTGCTAAGATTATTACTGAAAGGCTGCTATTTAAATAATTTCAAAGTGGAGTAATCCCACGTCATATATATCACGATTATCTTTTTTCCACGCTTTTAAGGATGATATTTAATCATCCTGATATGCAATAAGAAATGTCAACAGAAACATACCCCAGATATTTCTGGTGGATCTTCCTGAAGCATCCACGTGCTCTAAACAGGAACATACACAAGATATTTCTGGTGGATCTTCCTGAAGCAGCCACGTGCTCTAAACGGGAACATACACAAGATATTTCTGGTGGATCTTCCTGAAGCATCCACGTGCTCTAAACAGAAACATACACAAGATATTTCTGGTGGATCTTCCTGAAGCATCCACGTGCTCTACACAGAAACATACACAAGATATTTCTGGTGGATCTTCCTGAAGCATCCACGTGCTCTAAACAGAAACATACACAAAATATTTCTGGTGGAACTCGAAGTGTCAACACCAGGTTTCCAAATCAGCGTTACAAAAAAGAACTACTTTATCGCTAATGAAACTTTCTATTAAAGCAAGAAATGGTACAGACATTCGATACATACTATTAATTAATATTTGAATATAAATGTTAATTACAAACTTTTAAATTAATATTCAGTTGCACGGTATGAGGCAATCAGAGATCAGATATGTAAAAACTACCAAGGAGAGTAAAACAAATAACACATAAGTGATATTATGTTTTTGTAAAACCCCTGATATGTTGATATGGATCTCTCTTTTTTTTTAAATCACCTTTACATTTTCTGTACAAACAGTTAAAATAAAGACCTTTATTGACTATTTATCATAAGTATATCCCCATAAAACGTCAACACAAACTTTCTGTCGAGAGCATCTCTTCGTTTATTAACTACAAGCACACTGCAACAAGCGATGAAATTGGTGGGAATGTGGAAATAGTACGTAACAAAGCAAAGTTTGTAAGAGAGAAAACAAAATTAACGTGCTTTAACTATTCACGGAGCTCGAATAAAATAGTTCAGTCAAATCATCCAGCTAGTGAGAGCAACCATCTGTCAAATCCTGCATTTCGACGGATGTAGTTTCCGTTCTCACGTGGACACGTGCCTGTTGTCCGTAACTCCCAGCAGCTGATGGGATCTCGTGACGTAATAATTAGGCGGAATGCCTGTACAGGAGAAGGAACACAGAATTGTTTTAAACCTGTTTAGTAATGTTCGCGTGTGATCTATGCATTTCCGCTCGACACAGACGTGATTTTAGGTGTGTCCTTGGAAATCTCAATGTTATGTGTATCTGCGTGCATGTGTCCTTTGCCCATACACCGCAGGTGAGGAAGGTTTAGAACATCTATTCAAAGGTACATTGAGCTGATTGAATAGTTTTTTATTCGCTTCCCCAATAATACACACAATACTCACGTGAGAAAACAGTAGTGTTCACAATCACATCAAAGAGTAATAAAAACAGAGGGTGCACGTGGTCTTTCCCTTAGCTCTATTACTTAACCTTTTATTGCTTATCGTGAGAGCAAGTACGTAAAAACGAATGTAAAATAGCAGGCTGTAATTGTTCAATAGTTTTATAATTTCATATAGTATAACTGAATTACACATTAATATGAAAGTGGAAATATCGCACATCATACCTTACCTGGAACATTTACGATGGATGAATCGAGAATCTCAGTTTCAGGCTAATTGTAGTTTTATAATTTCATATAGTATAACTGAATTACACATTAATATGAAAGTGGAAATATCGCACATCATACCTTACCTGGAACATTTACGATGGATGAATCGAGAATCTCAGTTTCAGGCTAATTGCTCGACAAAATGTATGAAAGGAGGAAATATTCTTAAAAAAAAAACAGGTAATTATCAAGCTTTTTAAACTGGGGCGGTGAGTTTAACATAAAATTCCAATTAAGAGAATAGCATATATTCTACAAAAGTAAATAATCAGTTCTAAGTCTTCATATACATATATTTATGTATCATATTTGTCGGGGCGCGGATTGGCGCTGTGGTACAATTCTGGATTTTCGAAATGTTGAACCGGGCTAGAATCTGTGCGAC